CTCTCTCTCTCTCTCTCTCTCTCTCTCTCTCTCTCTCTCTCTCTCTCTCTCTCTCTCTCTCTCCTCTCTCTCTCTCTCTCTCTCTCTCTCTCTCTCTCTCCCTCTCTCCCCTCTCTCTCTCTCCCCCCTCTCCCCCTCTCTATCCCCCTCTCCCCCCTCTCTCTCCCTCTCTCTCCTCCCTCCCTCCCTCTCTCCTCCCTCCCTCCCTCCCTCTCCCTCCCTCCCTCTCCTCCCTCTCTCTCCTCTCTCTCTCTCTCTCTCTCTCTCTCTCTCTCTCTCTCTCTCTCTCTCTCCTCTCTCTCTCTCTCTCTCTCTCTCTCTCTCTCTCTCTCTCTCTCTCTCCCTCCCTCTCCTCCCTCTCTCTCTCTCTCTCTCTCTCTCTCTCTCTCTCTCTCTCTCTCTCTCTCTCTCTCTCTCTCTCTCTCTCTCCTCTCTCCTCTCTCTCTCTCTCTCTCTCCTCTCTCTCTCTCTCTCTCTCTCCCTCCCTCCCTCTCTCTCTCTCTCTCTCTCTCTCTCTCTCTCTCTCGGATGGCTGTACGGGTGCAATCGTTGCACTCGCGCTCGCGAATTTGGCGAGAATCCGCCCGAAGATTTATCTCGCGCGGTGACGAGAAATTTTGACTTTTTCTCCCGCAGGTTACGTCAAAGCCCCACCGCGCGTTATGTACGCTTTTAAGACCAGGCATGAATATTGAAATTCTCGTCATTCGCGCTCAGTCACTAATGATCTGCACGTCGGCAGACATAATTTAAAGTTTCTAAACTAAACGAGTTAAATAATGAATATGCGCTCGGTCAACGGGCGTCGTCCTGTGCTGGCTAGTTAAATGAAAGGACTGCGAAAGTCATCTCCAGCTTATTTAGTTCTTAAATATGGATATACATCGCGAGACTGCAAATATTTATGTTTGATGTGTCACGCAGGTATTCTTTCTCTTACATAACTGACTCCTCCCCACATACACACTCAACTTTACATTTCCGAACCCCTTTCTACATAGCTTAATTTTACACTTGCTGCAGAAAACGCGAGCAGAGGATTCTCGCAATCTTATGACAAGGGATTCGAGGCAGGACAGGGTCCCCAGTGGCTTTCAACAACAAGTTCGTTGACGGATTCAGGGTCTTGTGGGACGTTTCATCGGCAAATACTCGATTCGACACGTCGTTTCTTCCGATAATCCATTTAACAGCGAGCTGAGGAAAGTTTAAGAGTTCCGAGGCAATTTCGATTCATCAGACGACCCAATTGGTTGGTGCTGCTCGCCGCCACAATACGGAAACGCAAATTCCAAGAGTTCCCTCGCCGCCGGACGGATGCTGATCGAGTATGACGGATAATGATAAATACAAGCTAACGAAAGTCATCAAGCTGCTCGGCACTGCGCCGTCGTCCGCAGCTGTTGGGATTCTCTCACACGTCTCCGACGCTAATAACGATATCGCGCGGCGTCCCCCGCGCATTCGATTAAGAATACAAGTCCCTCGTAAGTTTCGATTATCCGGACACGCTCTTGAGGAGTTGCTCGGCTTCTCCGACGCGGTCGTTAGACGTCGGTAACAAATGAGAGCGAATGTAGGTCGGCAGCGGGTTAGGTTCTTCATTTTTCAGCGCGGTCGGGAGGCGCTTAACGTCATGAATCTCCCCGGCGTCGGACAAACAGGGACAGACGCGATTCTCCGCAATTAAACAAGCCGAAATGAATATGAAAAGGATCCGTAACTGGAGCAAAGAAAAGTTTCCGCCCGGGTCGGCCACGCTGGCCCGCCGGCCTCAATTCCGGCGAATTATCCTACTTTTGTAGACACGTGAAATTCACTTCTGGTTGAATAAAGCATCTTGACCCTCTTTCACAATTAACACTCCGCGGAAGAATGTGAATTTCACGGCATTCCGTGACTTTAACAAACTCGACGCGATTCTCGTTAACAGCCCTGAGGAATATTCAAGTGGACGTGGATTGATTACACGAGCTTCCGGATAATATTTCGCGTGGCTTTGCGGGAAAGAAAGGAGAGAAGAGGACATACATCCGGCGAGCGAGGTCCGTCCAGATAAGTGAAAATATCTCAATATCGGAACTAGTCGTATTCTTTGTAGCACGCGTTTCTTTCTTTTCTATTCTTTTTATCGCGTCGAACGACGCGACGCAAAGCGCAAAGCGCAACAACAGTTTTTCTGATCAGCAGCAACGCGAAACGAGATCTCCTCCTTCTTCGCGGAACGCAAAGATGAAAGTTTATAACGTATATTTCTCGAGAGATAATTGATTTTTCGGAATACATCCGCGGGGAGAACTCATCGCGACGTGAGGCATTACTCCCCGTAAACATAAAGCTCATCTCGCGACCGTTAACGTGTGTACAGTGTGTACAGTGAAAATCGTGGCGGCTGATCCTGCTGTTGCTCCGGGGAAAATAACATATTTCCCACTTGCTCGAGCGGAGAAAATATGCGGCACCGTATGAGGAAGACGGAGAGAAGAACGAAATCGGGTCGCATAATCCGCTAATATTTTCCGTCAACAACGGCGAAAGAGCGGGCATTAATATTCCGACCTTTCACCTTCACGAACTTCGACGTAGCGCGCGCACGCGCGAGATTCGCCTTTCAAAAACCGATCAAACGGAACGGATTAATCGATCATTGCCAAAGGACAGCAGCGGGCCCGGATATGTTCGCGTCCCGGAAAACTGCGAGAGCCTTGTATCATGTCGTGCCCGGCCGGAGCCGTCCGCTCGGCTTCCCTCCCTTCGTCTCTCTCGCACCATCGAATTATCGATGACGATATTATCGACTCTCCAACGCTCGCGCATTCTCGAGCGCCGTGGCAAAAGTGACCGGGCGATAGTCAATGCCGGTCTCCGCGCTGCGGCAGAACGCTGTAATTGGTTTGTCGCAGCTTAACTAACTGCCGGATAAAGTCGCCGGTAACGCCGGCATTTAAGCGGGGCTTACCGCTACGAGGTGAGGCGAGATGTTTACTGCTAATTGCGTAGCCTCGGACTTTCGATTCACCTGGATTTATACCGCGCCACGGAGTGCTCTACCACGGCGCTCTCAAACATTCCTCTCTAATTTTGGACCGCGCGGGAACGCTCATTTTTTAGCGGGCGTTTGTTCGGGGAAAATCGAAAACTCACGTTTTCCTTTTTTTCCCTTCCTTCCTTTTCAATCCGTCAAATGTGCGACGGTATTCCGCCGCATATTCCTCGGCGAGAGCGGAATCGATTTTCTCGCGGGGACGACGGCGAATTTCACTGGCCGTCTCTCTCCTCCTTCTCCTCCTGCCTGTGATTACTTAATTCTCGTTAAATATTGAGACAACGGAGCTCAGCGAATTAGAATTCCGTTAAAATAAAACCGGCTTCCGCCGCGAGCGGGCTCGATCCAATAATAACACGGGTAAACTTCGACTCGCGTCACTTGCCGCGTATACCGCTCATACGAAAGTTCCACAGTACCGAGTCACGAATGATTTCCGCGAGTTAGCTAAAGTCCTGCCGGCTGTCGCGAGCGAGCCTTACGGCTGCCTCGCCCTCTCACCCTTCAAATAGGGCGCGGCTGAGAACGGAGTTGCTCCCGGTGAGGGGGACGGAGGGAGCGGGCGGGCGTCTCAGAATGTACGATAATATTGTAATATAAATAGTTGGCGGCATGCCAGGTGAGTTAATTGCTAGATCATACGGTACGCTTCCGTTTGCTCACCGCCAGCTCGGCCGGCGAGTGAAATTTTTTTCTTGGCAGAACGGTCCGCACGCGCGCACGCGCGTGTTCGAATCTCATTTGCGCGATTAAATCTTCTCTCGCGCGCGGCACGCTACGGGAAACGCGGAAAGTTCCCTTTTTAAGGATAGAGAGAGGGGGAAAGAGAAAAACACACCACGGCAAGTCAGCGGCCTGGCTAAGGAGAAACGCAAAGCAATCGGCCGCGATTGCATTCGTCGACACGTGGCCGCCGCCGCCGCCGCCGCCGTCGCGTCGCGACGCGACGAATCACGCGAGTTTCCCGCCGAGGCGAAGGCCGAATTTCGCGGAATGTTGAAAGGCTTCGGGGAACCGCGTGAATTCGCGTGATAAGAAGCGGGTCGGCGCGAGCCACAGGGCGACAGGGATATTAGAGTGCGACTGTGCACGGAATAAGTAACGCGATAACGAGTCACGAAGAACTCCCCGACTAGAAATTTATCCCATGGTCCCATAATCAGGTTAACCTCATTTGGACATCAGGTCCCAATAAGGTAATACTATCGGGTCCTAGTAAGTCATGCAACGCAGCGTGGATATCAGGACCTTAGTAAGGATTCATAGTCAGGTCCTTATTGAGTTACCTTATGGAATCCTTATTACGTTTCTTTTTTTTCCAATTATGGTTCCTGATTACTCGCCACCGCTACATTGGATGATGACTTTAGAAATAAGAAATGACACGCTGAGGATTCTTTTATGTCATTTCCAAATAAAAAGATATTTGCATGAAATAATATTTTAGATCGCTTGAGCATACTTGTAAAATGTTTCGGAAAAGAAACATAAAATGAATATCATAAGATCATAAAGTATCGCAAGGTGACACAGGACATAAAGTAGTGTTAAAGAGAAAAGTTGCATGTCACGTTAATTTTACAACTATTTATTGACTGCTAATAAAAGGATAGTTTCTATAGCATTTTACAAATATATTCAAGCGAATCTGAAGTGTTTTTTTCAATGCAAACATCTTTATATTTGGAAATGACACCCCAAAATTTTGTTAAAATTTGATAATGCAAATCATATTAGGTACAATGAATAAGATCCCGACAAGGACCTGATTAACTGAACCATATTATATCATACACTAGGTTGACACATTAAGATCCTAATGTGGACCCAATCATTATAACCTTATAAAGATAATCTTCCTTACTGACTTGTCGTTAGGACATTATAAGGACTGACTTACTTAGGATTACCTCCCATTCACTCTATTAGGTCCTTATCAATGTTAGGTGAACTTGATCAAAATTTCTAGTCGGGTCAATGTCTGAGTTAAAAGCGGCAGCGCCAGTTGACGCCGACGTTCGCAGTCGCTATCAGCACGGAGACACTCGGACATTCGAAGCGTTTATTTATTTCGTTCATTCGCGCGACTTACATCTCCCGAGACTCTCGCGAGTCATTACACGCGTCGGCCGAGATTGCCTCCGCCTTCTCGCGCGTCTCTTGCACACGTCGACCTGTTCGTCGTCTCGGCCTCACGACGCATCATCGACCGCAGATGTCGTTATCGTCTGACCCTCGTGTTCCTGAGAGGACTCGTCCGAGGGTTGACGGCGCAGCAACTGAGGATCCACGACGAGCCTGACGTTGACGGTGCTCTTCCACCACCTGTACCACGGCGACACCTGGTCCTGAAGAAGGAGAGACAAATGTGAAGCGAGCTAGGAGGAGAGCGCTGGCCAACTCTCTCGCGCGAGCGCGCGCGGTCGCTCTCCTTTTCCCGCCGATTTAAATTATCCGGGCAGTTTCAGTTGTCAGGGGCAAAGGGCAGTCCACTCGATAAATCAGACTCGAGTGACGCGCCTCGAGTGCCCTCCGACGAGAGAAAAAGAGAGAGAGAGAGGGTAGGACGGAGGAAGGGTGAGAGAAACGGACAACGGGGGGGAGCGCGAGGAAGAGAGAGAGAGAGAGAGAAAGAGAGAGAGAGGGGGAGAGCGGTGTCCGATCGAAAGCGGGAGAGACGTGACGTCGCAAAGTGGCGGCGTATTCGCGATTATTCTTAATTAAACACGACGTCCGACGATTTCGATTCAACTGCAGCGATTTACGGCGAGCGACGAGCCCCGGACGGTTTTAGCCGCCGCCGCCGCCGCTGCGCCGCTGTCCTCTACAGATCGGGTCGCCGATCGTACGGAATAGCGCACTCTGCGCCTGGAAATCTTCCGCGAGGATTAATGAGGACGCTCGGCGCGGCGCGCGTTCGATTTGCTCGCCGCTCGCTCGAATCGGCCGGCGAAATATCGCGCGCGCCAGGCGAATCATCTCGCTCGCCCCATCCTCCACTTAGCGCAGCCTCTCCGAGCTTCAATACGCGCGCTCGACGCGCCTCTGGCTTCCATAGTACGGGCGGAGGCGTTAAGCGACGTGAATAATTCTCCGCAGGATCGAAGGCGCACTTTGTTCCACGCGAGATAATATATTGTAGATCCCAGCGGCTGATAAATCTCCCGATTTATCGGCGACATTGATCCGCGTATATCCGCATTTCGGCTGTACCGAAGATGCAGCCCCGGCTAGATTGCCGCGTATATTCTTGGCTCACGTTGACGGAAGATATTGCGGCCGTGTGGTAGACGATAATTATATCGCCCTGATAAGTGTACGTCGTCGCGGAAGTGTCGATTTTGCGCGAGAGCCGCGCCTAAATATCGCGGATGCGGCAAGCTGATGAAATCGCGATCTCGGCGAGGAGCTCCCGAGGATTTCCGGCCGAGTCTGGCCGATATATGTGTTATGTATGTGCAAATGAATAATCCAAACTTTTTTAAGCGGCTAGGAAATTAAGTTTCAAATAATCAAATTTTTCCGCTCTTTTACGGTTATGCAGTGTGTTGATACATAGCTGTTAAAAATTACATTTAGTATGGCGGAAAGCTCAACATAACCTCCAAAATTATTCAGTTCAGTACAGTCAAAAATGGCAACAGACAAGGTGCATATCCGACACTGCATTCTTCATGAATTCCAACGAGGAAAAAATGTTGCAAGAACATGCGAATCGATTTGTTCCTTTCGCGGCGAAGGTATTGTATCGTACGACGTATCGTCTGCATTTTGATTTAGACGATTTAAAAGCGGCGATTTTAATCTGAGTGAGAAACAAAGAATATCCTGGAGGCCGTCAATAGTGCGGAAACAATGATTTGGAGCAACTGCTCGCTGAGAATCCGGCACAAGCGCAAAAAGAGCTTGCAGAACAGTTAGGAGTAACGCAACAAACTATTTCCAAAGATTCCTTCGAAGATTCGAAAAGAAGGAAAATGGATTCCGCATAAACTCACTGAAGTCAACAAAAATCAACGAGTGGCAGTGTGTTTTTCTCTTCTCAGTAAGCAGCGTAGAAAATCTTTCCTGTTCCTGTGAAAATACCAGCGATGAGAAGTGGATATTCTATGACAATCCGAAACGCAGAATGCGTCGTGGGTAAATCCCGGTGAACCACCAACATCGGCAAAGCCAAAATACTTCAGGAAGAAGATAGGTTCTACATTTGGTGAGATATGAAGGGCGTGATTTACTATAAGATATTAAAACCAAATGAAACAATTACTGCGGACCGCTACCGATACCAATTAATCCGTTTGAGTCAAGAATTAGAATACGAAAACATCCGTATAGTGACAAAGGAAAATGTCCTGTGAAATTGTTGCATGATAACGCTAGGCCACACATTGCTTCTATGACAAAAGACAACGTAATGAGTCTTGGCTGGGACGTCTTGCAACACCCGATCCGATATGCACTTGAAATCAGTGGATGAGATTCGAAAATGGCTTGACGACTCTTTATCGTGTCCAAAAACACAACATTTTTCCGACCTGGAATCAGCTGCCTGAAAGATGGCTTAAACTTATAGAAAACAACGGCGACTGACATTGATTGACAAATTTGTTTTACTTACTTTCAACATAAACTTTGAATTTAGCTGAAAATTTTGGATTATTCATTTGTACACCAATATGTCAAAGGAGGCTCGGAGACTGCGGATGCGTAATGATAATCATCTCGCCTCGCAGGCGATATATAATCTTATTCTAATACACCGATCCCCTGATTATTATTCGATTCATATTCACTCGCGGGAACTTTGCGGACTCCATATTCATCTCTGAAGCGATTCTGACTAACGATTGAATTTAGAGACAACTTGGAGCGAGATAATCAAGCGGCAAGACCGCGCTCGCTGACAATCTCCATAGTGTAATTAACTGTACGGAAATTTAATGAGAGCATTAGCAGGCATTTTAGGACGCATAAACGAACGCCGTAAATACTCGCTCGTAACGGCCCCGAACGGAAAACTGCCGTTTAATTCACGCTGATGCCGTGAAGATTACGATCTTTATCCCAGCGGGGGGGGGGAGAAACAATATAACCCAAAGTTAAGTAAACAATGCGATATAAATCAGTAAACTAGACGCTCGTAAAGGAAACCGTTCGCGAGTCGCGAGCGCGCGCGCCGCGGCTCTCGCGTCAGCTCGAAAGAAACGAGGAAAAGGAGACGAGAGAAGGAGACAAAAAAACAGCGTACGTAGGCTGCTCCGTTGCCGCGAGCAGCGCGCAACTTTAAAACGCCATAAAGGTGTGAATCATAAAGCATCCTCGTAAAGGGCTGAGGGCGTAACGCGAAGCAAGCTCTCTCGAAGGACGCGAGCGAGCAGCGAGCGCGACACTTCCAAGACTATAGGAGGGTCTCTGTTAGTCGCGCTTCCGGTTCGCGCCATCGTCTCTCCGCCCCTTATATGCTCTTTTCATATCAGAGCGCCGCACGTCTCTCTTTCTCGCGTTCTTCCGGCCGCGTCAAGTGCACCCCCGACGCGTTTGTTCCGGCTCGCTCGGCCGCCCGACCGCTATATCCGCCGCGCATTCGAGCGTCCCGACGCTCACCTGTATCACCTTTGCACCGTGCGCGTGTACCTTAATGCACCCGCTATCTCTAGCCCCGACGAGATCGCGTCGCATAAACATAAACCGCGGCACGGCGATGTCGTGCTGGCTACGCGACGCAAAGTCGACGACCCGGCTGGCTTCGTGCACGTGCAAGACGGAATTCGAGCCGAAAAGGTGTACTCTCTGCCTTTTACCCTGGCGCTAAGGACCCTCGAATCGAGGCCTGGCAACTTCGTCAAGATCCTGCGGGAGAGAATGACGCACAGAGTGCGCGTGAACTTCACCGCCAGAATAGATTCTACATGAAAGAATAAGTCTTGGTTAATGTACGCCCCAAAGAGGCTTGGTTCTGAATACAGCTGCCGCGCCCACAGTTTTCGAGCGTATTTGACTCATCAAGTCGGGTTTCACAAATAGACACACATGCCGTTGTGAAAATTGCTCAGGTTTTTCGCCATATCTGCAAGCTCCTCGAGAGCGTAGACGTCTACGGCGTCAAGGGGAAATTACAGGTTTCCTTAATTTCATTCGCGACGAACGGTAACGATACATCAACGACACAGCGAAAATGATTCTTCGGTTAATATTCAGAAATTATCAAAATTGATAAGTATTATCTTAAAAAAAAAAAGAAAAAAAACTAAACCTGTTGTATTGTGTGTGACATTCTTAGGTCGCTTATCACGACATATTTTTCTCTATTGTTGTCATCTTCCGAAAACTGTATCTCAGAAATGAAGCTATTGAGGATATATGTTTTTACTTATTTTTCAACATAGAAACTGTCCTGTAAGTTTGTCGGTAGAGTTCAGATACACTCTCTCTGTACATCCATTATCTCTCTCTTTAAACAAGCCTTCTCAGATACGCCCACGTATACCCCTGAGAATTCCGCCCTGCGAAAGTTTACAGCAATATTTGTGTAAAAGATATTGGATAATGTGCAGCACCGTTTTGCAACAATTCTTCATTGAAAGATTACATCATGAAGATATTTCCTACAATTTGCGAAAGTCGATGCTGATCATATTTGAAGATGTCATGATTGATACTCTCCAATTATAAAAAAATTTTTTGCAACATTTAGGCTAAGTTTATAAAGGCAACTACCGTTAGTGCAAGCGATAGTAATAGTATTGCAGGGCACTCTCCTAGATAGTAATAGTATTGCATAGTAAAAAATGCAATTTTTAGTAAGGTTGGCTAGGTCATTTTAAAGCGACGAAGAAATCTAAAGCCAAAAGCGTAGATATGCTAATATTAAAATTCAAATTAGAATAGAAACGGCTAATTTCTTAATAATAAATTTCTTAATAAAATATTTTTAAAGCATCTTATGCTTCATCTTCTATTATATTTCTCTACTATCGACTGAAATCTAATAAACTCTGACAAATTAATAAAAAAAGTGGAAAAAGAAAAAAAACTTTTTAGAAATCGCAAAACTATTGATGGGGTGGAATTAGGGTTGCCAGATGGCCGGGATTCGGAAATCCCGGAGGAATGTCCCGGAATTCTTAAGCTTGTCCCGTGTCCAGAAATTTAAGTCTTCTATCCCGGAAAATCAAGATTTCAACAAGATCAATCATAAAAAGCAAAATAATCATAACATTCATGTTTCTAACTGGTACCAGAGTACCAGAGAAACTTGAAAGCGGTCATCGCGATTTTCGAATTTTTCAACGTGCCACCTAAGAAAATTGATGTCAACCAAGCCATTCGCGTGGTAAAAAATACAATCGCACGGTTTATGTCCAAACTTCTTCCTGCTAACCTAACTCACACATTTATTTGTTGCGAGTGCACAGCGGCATCTCTTAGCCGTCTTACCTCTCTGTCTCTCAAATTTAACTAAAATTCTCTAACAACCTATTTTTCAACCGTCGCCTAAAAAATGTCCCGGAAATAGTCATTTCGCATCTGGCAACCCTAGATGGAATATCAATAGTTGCCCGCCTCTAGTTTCTACCCGGCGCGAGATGCGCACGCCTGTCGCTGATCAAAAGTGTCCAAACACTGCGCGATTTCCCGCCGAGATACATCTCGACGGGACATGAGCTCTTAAGAAATGTTGCGCGATAAATAAGTCTATATTTTACGTTCTGTCGGCTCGCCTAGTACGCGGAATCTTGGCAAGCTAGAGGTGATGGCGGCGGGAAGGAAGTAAGAAAAATAGCCGGTGTTTCGAACTTGAGGCGCGTCGATAGTTTTCAAGTTATGAATATTACGCGCTCCGTGCACGGTGATCTATACGTTCGCGAGGCTTTAGAAACTTTCATCCATAAAAGTCAAGGAACTCGCGCGACTTTTTTCTAAGCGCGCACCTCGGTAGAAATATTATCATTCCCATCATTGTGTGCTGAGACGTGGATTCGACATGCGTTTGCTCTATGTCGTAGAGATTGTATATTAGTTGGTGGTTTTGAGAAAAAATTATTGCCTCCCCCCTCCCCCCCAATTCGTACGTTCCTTTATATGTCTTTATGACGTGTTTGTGTGTGTGTGTGTGTAGGGGTGGCAACGCAATTTCATTTATTGAAATAAATAAGCGCCTCACTACCGGATTTAATGTTCGCTCCCGACACTAATCTCCACTTACGGGCACTAGTTGGATACTTAATTGGAAGGACACATTCGGCCTCGCGGGATACAGCGGACGGGTGGTTAAATACGTTTCATTACAACGCTGATCCCATTTCCACGTATAGTATATAATATCACGCGATCGATTTCATGCCGATTTCGTATACCGCCGGCGTATATCGCGTAAAACAATAATCTCATAAATTTGCCTCTTGATGGAGTAGTCTCCGTGCAAATTTAATAAGATAGTCGCGATGTTGATCATTTTAAAACGTTTCGTACAGATAAAATATCAACACTCGAGCGCATTGTAATGTACACATATCGCCGTCATGTTAATTAATTAAACAGATCAATGGTTCCTCCATGTACGCAGGTTCTTTTGTCACGACACATTTCGTCGCGCTAATTAATGTATTCAATTTTGTCGTGTCGCGTCGGTCAATTCAACCGTCACCGAGTGTTTCGATCGGGCACCGAATGGAGGGATTACGTGTTAACGAAAGAGGAAAGAATAATTTGGAAAAGAATCGTTCAATCTTGCTTTACCCGCGACTCTACAATTCTTCTCGCATGCGTTTGGTCGACGCGATCCCGCCGTCATCGGGCGAGATATCCGCGAGTACATCGGGAGTATAATTACCCTGCCGAGCAGGTAAACCGTGGTGACGTAGCCTAATATCACGACGGTGAGGAAGAACCATATCGCCCCGCGGGTCCAGAGCTTGGAAATTCCGATCTTTTTCCCCTCGATGATAAAGTACCGCATACCTGCAAAGTTACGGCGGATAACAAGTACACACAGTCAGTTCGGCGCGACGGCAGTTTCGCAAGAGCGGCGCGGCGCGCTTATCGGACGGAACTGAGACTTCGCGTCTCTGAAGCTTCGTCAACTCGCGCGGGTGCGCGATCTGAATGCACTTTTTCGGGGAAATATCTCGACGCGCTACCTCGCAACGGAGAAGTCGCGTTCTCTTTTTTTTCTTTTTCTATGACTACGGTCCAAAAGAGAAAAAAGGAGAATTCTCGGGCAACGAGAAGATACGTTTGCGCGGCGCTCTCCCGCGTACTCCCCCCCCCTCCCCCCCCCCGGCAAAGTCTAGGAGCGATAAAGTAACGCGATTCGGAAACGCGAGGAATCGAGCGAGAAATTAAGGATTCCTGAAGCACTGTCTGCGTCTGTGATAACGTGAAATACATAACATCCACCGTGCGGACCCGGAGAGACGTCGAGAGCGGGAGCTACGGAGCGGCAGCTATATTCCCGTGAAACTTCCCGGACTTTGGAAGCCGTCAAATTCGCAGCGAGATGCACCGGGTGAGTTCGAGAAATATTCGCAACGTACTACCAATATCGCGGAAAATATCGGATCCGAAAGTTCGCAGAGCTCCTCGCCGGGCGAGACTTCATTCATTCGTTCGTTCGTTCGTTCGCTCGTACGTTCGCTCGTATGTTCGTTCGTTCGCTCATATGTTCGTTCGTTCGTTCGTTCGTTCGTTCGTTCGTTCGTTCGTTCGTTCGTTCGTTCGTTCGTTCGTTCGTTCGTTCGTTCGTTCGTTCGTTCGTTCGTTCGTTCGTTCGTTCGTTCGTTCGTTCGTTCGTTCGTTCGTTCGTTCGTTCGATCGTTCGTTCGTCCGTTCGTCCGTTCGTTCGTTTATTCGTTCGCTCGTACATTTGTTCGTTCGTTCGTTTGTTCGTTCGTTCGCTCGTACGTTCGTTCGTTCGTTCGTTCGTTCGCTCGTATGTTCGTTCGTTCATTCGTTCGTTCGTTCGTTCGCTCATATGTTCGTTCGTTCGTTCGTTCGTTCGTTCGTTCGTTCGTTCGTTCGTTCGTTCGTTCGATCGTTTGTTCGTCCGTTCGTCCGTTCGTTCGTTTATTCGTTCGCTCGTACATTTGTTCGTTCATTCGTTTGTTCGTTCGTTCGCTCGTATGTTCGTTCGTTCATTCGTTCGTTCGTTCGTTCGCTCATATGTTCGTTCGTTCGTTCGTTCGTTCGTTCGTTCGTTCGTTCGTTTGTTCGTTCGTTCGTTCGTTCGTTCGTTCGTTCGTTCGTTCGTTCGTTCGTTCGTTCGTTCGCTCGTACATTCGTTCGTTCGTTCGTTCGCTCGTATGTTCGTTCGTTCATTCGTTCGTTCGTTCGCTCATATGTTCGTTCGTTCGTTCGTTCGTTCGTTCGTCCGTTCGTCCGTTCGTTCGTTTATTCGTTCGCTCGTACATTTGTTCGTTCGTTCGTTTGTTCGTTCGTTCGCTCGTACGTTCGTTCGTTCGTTCGTTCGTTCGCTCGTATGTTCGTTCGTTCATTCGTTCGTTCGTTCGCTCATATGTTCGTTCGTTCGTTCGTTCGTTCGTTCGTCCGTTCGTCCGTTCGTTCGTTTATTCGTTCGCTCGTACATTTGTTCGTTCGTTCGTTTGTTCGTTCGTTCGCTCGTACGTTCGTTCGTTCGTTCGTTCGTTCGCTCGTATGTTCGTTCGTTCATTCGTTCGTTCGTTCGTTCGCTCATATGTTCGTTCGTTCGTTCGTTCGTTCGTTCGTTCGTTCGTTCGTTTGTTCGTTCGTTCGTTCGTTCGTTCGTTCGTTCGTTCGTTCGTTCGTTCGCTCGTACATTCGTTCGTTCGTTCGTTCGCTCGTATGTTCGTTCGTTCATTCGTTCGTTCGTTCGCTCATATGTTCGTTCGTTCGTTCGTTCGTTCGTCCGTTCGTTCGTTTATTCGTTCGCTCGTACATTTGTTCGTTCATTCGTTTGTTCGTTCGTTCGCTCGTATGTTCGTTCGTTCATTCGTTCGTTCGTTCGTTCGCTCATATGTTCGTTCGTTCGTTCGTTCGTTCGTTCGTTCGTTCGTTCGTTCGTTTGTTCGTTCGTTCGTTCGTTCGTTCGTTCGTTCGTTCGTTCGTTCGTTCGTTCGTTCGCTCGTACATTCGTTCGTTCGTTCGTTCGCTCGTATGTTCGTTCGTTCATTCGTTCGTTCGTTCGCTCATATGTTCGTTCGTTCGTTCGTTCGTTCGTTCGTCCGTTCGTCCGTTCGTTCGTTTATTCGTTCGCTCGTACATTTGTTCGTTCGTTCGTTTGTTCGTTCGTTCGCTCGTACGTTCGTTCGTTCGTTCGTTCGTTCGCTCGTATGTTCGTTCGTTCATTCGTTCGTTCGTTCGTTCGCTCATATGTTCGTTCGTTCGTTCGTTCGTTCGTTCGTTCGTTCGTTCGTTTGTTCGTTCGTTCGTTCGTTCGTTCGTTCGTTCGTTCGTTCGTTCGTTCGCTCGTACATTCGTTCGTTCGTTCGTTCGCTCGTATGTTCGTTCGTTCATTCGTTCGTTCGTTCGCTCATATGTTCGTTCGTTCGTTCGTTCGTTCGTTCGTTCGTTCGTTCGTTCGTTCGTTCGTTCGTTCGTCCGTTCGCTCGTTCGCTCGCTCGCTCGTACGTACGATCGTTCGTTCGTTCGTTCATTCGTTCGTTCGTTCGTTCGCTCGCTCGTTCGCTCGTTCGTCCGCTCTTTCGCTTCGCCGCGCAACGGCTGACTAGTGTCACTCGCGTGAAAAACTACTCACCCAAAAGGCACACCGCGGCTAATCCCACCGTGACGATCGTGAGCAACGTCAAGATGAGCAGGTCCGACTCTATGTTTCTGCGATTCCGCGGGTGGCTGATCCATATCCTGAGAGATTCTGGCCTGCAGGTGCCCATAAAAATGATAAGCGTGCTCGCGCTCGCGCGGTTCAGCCATTAAGATAAAAGCTCGAGAAGAGAAAAGAAAGAGAAGAGATTCAGCTCCCCAGGGCTCGCAGGGTCACAGCAAACGGAAAACACTCGTCGGTTACATGCGCACGACGTTGCATTAAAATTGTCGAATCCAAATGCGTCGGTCTCAAAGTCGGATGTTTAAGGACGCAACGAGGTCGCGCGCGCGTGTTTCCGGAAATAGCGCGGCGAATGTGCGCGCACAAAGGAGAAATATTAAAAATTACAGGCGAACGTAGATGCGAAAAAAGGACGAGAGGGGAAAGGGGTGAGGATCGATGCCAATGAAATACGAGCGTTCCTCGCGGAAGAAACAAATCCGTCCGCCGTCCTAATTCCGCCCCGCGGAAGCGGCCTGTAAATTTAGATTGATTCGCTACACGTTACTTTTCAACTTCAAAATACACAACATCGCACTTTGTCACGGTCCTGCGAGCGGTTTGCTCGATACATCATCTTTGAAGTTCAAGTTAACTCCGGCCGCGCGAGCCGATCAGCTTACGGCGAGGAAACAAATTGCGCGGAACGAAATAGAAGAGAAGAAAGAAGAGGAAGAAGGGAAAAGAGAGGAGAAGACGAGCGGGGGGGGGGGAAGGAGGGAGAAGAAAAGGTGGTGCCGAGCGATTCATCGCAGAAAAGGAGAATAATGGGTGCGCGCCGCGCTGGAAAACGAAATAGGAAACGTATCGGTGTGAGCGCGCGCGCGCGCACCGTAGTGCATTTCAGGTGCTTGAATTACATCCGGCTTGAAACTGCGCGCCGCTCGCCGCGATAAATGTAACGCTCACCATCGATAACGAGGCGTCTCCACGGCATTGAAGTAGTAACGGCACAATTCGCAGTAGGTTCGGCACGACTGATTCAGCCAACGTTCCAGACACGACAGGTGCACGTAAGCCAGTGTGCCCTTGCACCTGCAAGAGATTATTTGCTCGCGCTCCGTCGTCGTCGTCGCTTTCCGTTGTAATGATCGAACGACGTTACCCGCGTAACGTGAAGGTAACGTACGGCCGTCGCGCGCACGCGAGCGCGCGAGAGAGAATCGGAATTTTATTTGGCTCGTTTAGGAGACGCGCAGAGTCTCCCGATAAATTGCGTCTAGACGGTCCGAGATGGGATTGTGAGGGATAACAGCCGAGTGGCTTCGTTGATTCTTTCGCCGCGCCCGTTCGAGTGTTACACTCGCTCAGCTGTTTCCCAAGCGAATGCAAAGGGCGTAGCTGTGCCACGCCGGCGTTAGACGGCGGTTCTCGGAGGATCTCGGCTGCGAAAAGATTGTCTACGATTCGCGTGACGGCAGGCGCGAGCTTAAACCTGGCGACGGGAATCTCGGGGAGATTGCCTCAATTTGTAAGATTGATGACTCCCTAGCGAAAGACGCAATTTTGCCAATTGCCTCTTCGTTCGATTAGCGTGTCGTATTGCAACAAGATTCTCCGGGAAACTTTCTCACACTCGCTCTCTCCTCTCTCCTCCCCCTCTCTCTCTTCTCTCTCTCTCTCTCTCTCTCGCTCTCATTCCCGACCATATTCGCACGAGCGAAATTACATTGCGCCAGAGTGTTACGCCCGGGAGGCACTCCACCGGAAAATATTAAATTCGTGTTCGCTCGCGCTCACACGTAAACGCAGTCGTCATCGCATCGCGGAATGCATTCCGAACGTAAGAAAGATGAGTTATGCCCGGTTCTCTCCGCATTATTCTCGCCCGCTCGTCGAGCAGAGGCGCGCCTATGGCGCCCCGAAGTAACATTCGGATTAGAAAGGATTTCCGTAAGTTCGAGAATTATGAAGGTAAACGCCCGGGAAATTTGCAGCGGACCCTCATTCCGCGCGTTCTCTCTGCGTTTTCACGTAGTTCTTCGAGCACGAGTTGTGTGTCCTTAATCGCCGGGACACGTTCCCCGAACTGTTCACTCATTTACGCTTCCTCACCGTCTCTCAGTCCCACCGGCTAGCCGGGAATGAGAGAGAGAGAGAGAGAGAGAGAGAGAGAGAGAGAGAGAGAGAGAGAGAGAGAGAGAGAGAGAGAGAAAGCATAGGAAGAGGTCGACAAGAGACGAGGAGGGGGAGAGAAGTTTCCTTCTTATAACGTCGCGGCCGCCCTTCCTTCTCAGCACCTCGCGCAGTCTCACGTAAGAATTATGCGACTACGTGAGGTCGATTTCAGCGGCGCTCGTTGGGTATATACTTCATTCGACGATAAAGTCATGACGTCTCGCTTTGTCAGCAGTGTTAAACGATCGGTGTTCGCCGGGTAATCTCGTTATTATAAACAGCCCCGGCAGCTACCGCGACGCGACGCGACGCGACGCGAGTTCGCGTCGCTCTCGCTTACTCCACCCGTGCCTCGTCTATGATGTATGCAGCGGCGTGCAAATTAGTCCGAACGAGATACGGATTTATGGGAGCGCGCGCGAGAGCCCGAACTGTTGTCGCGCAGCTCGGCGAGCCCGACGGCAAGTTTGCACGCCGAAGTCTCAAGTCAAGTTGCTATCAATCAACGCAGGAACGTTTCGTCACTGCGCTTTCCTCTTGTAAAACGTAAGGACAGCGAATTACATCGTGAGCGCGGTGATTCGGGTGATAACGAAATATGATCCGACACACAGGCGAACTCTGAGATCTCGGAAGTACTGAAGCAGGGAGTGTTCGTTAATAGCGAAAAATCGAGGAAATCGAGAAAACGACTTCGGCGACTTCGCTACGAGCGGAGATAGTCTCACGTTTGCGACCGCGTTTCTACTCCGAGACACGATGCTCACAAATGAGTCCACTCCAAGTCGGGACGAAGAAGAACACGTCGAGTACACTCGGCGAAAGTATTGGGTATGGGGTAAGTTTCCGCCTTTTTCAGAAAGATATCGCTAGTGATAAAGAGTGTCCCAAAATTCACGCAAGAAGTAATTTTGATAGAAAACACAGGTTTATAATTAAAAATTGTAACTTTTCTATTGATTCATAAAGTATACAGTATAGCGTTATGTATGGAATAGCATATCGGGTAAATGGCCTCCACGGCTTTGCTGGCACATATGCACTCTTTTGTTGAAATTTTCCATGACCGTTTTGCATAAATGTGGCTGAATTTCGTTGATACAGCGCTCAATTTCCTCCTTCAAGGCGTGGGTGATCGTGGGCTTGTTGGTATAAACCTTAGACTTCAAAAAACCCCAAAGAAAAAAGTCCAACGGCGTTAAATCGCATGATCTGGGCGGCCTGATCTGATCACTAAAACGGGAAATTACACGACCAGGAAATGACTCATGCAGTAATTAAATTGTTTCTCGGGCTGTGTGGCATGTGGCACCGTCTTGTTGAAACCACGTGTCGTCCACATCCATATCTTGCAATTTAGGCACAAAAAACTGGATTATCATGTCGCGATAGCGAACACCATTAACTGTTATTGCCTGACCAGCCGCATTTTCTTCCGAAGAATGGTCCGATGATGCCTCCAGCCCAAAATCCGCACCAAACAGTGACACGTTGTGGATGCATTTGTTTCTCAACAATCACTCGTGGATTTTCTGAACCCCAAATGCGACAATTTTGTCGATTAACCAAGCCATCGAGATGAAAATGAGCCTCATCGCTGAAGATGATTTTGTTCGAAAAATCAGCATCCACTTGTTGTTGTTCCACAATCCATTCAACGAACTCTCTTCGCTGTGCGTGGTCAGTTTAAAAACTCCGAACTGTCAGCTGTCACGCTGTCTTCTTTTTTCGTTGGCAACACTTTACCGCACAAATAGCGCAAAATTCAAATCTTGCGTGAATTTTGGGACACCCTTTACTAATTTCGTATTTGATGGAACGTACTCGTGTTATGAAGGTGTATTTGTGAGCTTTGAATCGCAGCAGTAGACATTCGTTTGAAGCGTAAACATTATTTTTTCGCGTCAAAAATGGCAACATTTAACCCAACGAAGCAGCATTTGCGGGGAGTGTGTGACTCCATTACTCGTATATTCTGAAGAGAAGTGCTGCGGAAACGCATCGAATGCTTGTTGATATTTACGGCGATCATGCTCCGTTAAGAGTACCACGTATAAAGAGTGGTCTCGGCGTTTTCGAAGTGGTGATTATGACGTGAGCGACCGAGAACGCGAAGGGGCGGCTAAAAAATTCGAGGATGCACAACCGCAAGATTTACTCGAAGAAGATCCGAGTCGAACGCTCGGAGATTTTTCAAACGAGTTAAATGTTGATAGATCTACCGTCGGAAAACGTTTTACATACGTTGCGAATGGTCCAAAAATCAGGAAATTGGGTGTCACATCAATTGAAGGAGAGAGACATTGAAAGACGTCTGGTGACGTGCGAGATGCTTCTTCAGAGACAAAAAGGAGGGGTTTTCTGCATCGAATTGTCACTGGCGATGAAAAATGGATCTACTACGACAACCCCAAACGACTGAAATCATGGGTGATGCCAGGTGAACCAGGTCCATCAACTCCAAAACGGAATACCCACGGTTCGAAAGTTATGTTATGCATCTGGTGGGATCAGAAGGGTGTTATTTATTATGAGCTTCCAAAACCGTCCGAAACCATCACTGGAGGTCGTTACCGATTGCAGTTAATGCTTGAACCGAGCTTTAAAAGAGAAACGACCGGAATGGGATAATAAGCACAACAAGCTGATTCTGCTACACGACAACGCTAGGCCCTACGTTGCAAAACCAGTCCAAATATACTTGGAAGAATTGAATTGGGAAATCTTGCCCCACCCGCCGTATTCACCAGATATTGCTCCTTCGGATTTCCACTTATTTCGGTTCATGCAGTCGGCAGTCTTTCTGGAGAACGGTTCACTTCTCACAAAGGTATCGAAAAATGGCTTAATGAATGAATCGAGTGAAAAGAACCTGATTTTTTTCTTCGAGGAATCCGTTTACTACCTGAAAGATGGGAGAAAGTTGTCGCTTCCAATGGGGCGTACTTTGAATAAAATCATTTTGTATTTTTGGTTTAAATAAACGACTAATTTGTATTTAAAACGGGCGGAAACTTATTCCCAGACCTGATATAATCCTACCGTTGAACGTTCCGCCGTGTTCCCGCCGTTAAGCGCGTTAACCTGCGTTCCACGCACAAAACCGCGCGTTCGCTAGCGAGGGTGGAAAGTAATAGAAAATTTCTCGACGGGGGCGGAAATATGCGGTACGCGGCAAAAAAAGCGATGCGGCGGCGGGCGAAACAATTCTCTTTTACACGATTTGCTTGCTTGCCCCGCGGCCCGCCCGCGGCGTCGTAAACTTTTCCCTTTGGCGGCGTTGACGGCGTACATGGACGATGATTAGCCCGCGTATCCGGCGGGATAGTTATCGTCCGATGAAATTTATGCCGCTCTTCTTCTCCGCGGCGATTCCGCCGAGAAGTACGGCTGAGCGCGTTATGACATCAGTTTCGCGATTGTTACGGCGAACAATGCGCGGTATGCGGTAGAATCTGTAATACTCCGTCAGCCGTCGAGTGCGATATAAGGAGCGATATTAAACGCGAAACAATTCGCGGGCGGGCGGGCGCTCGGCCGGCCTCGGCGTCCGCGCCCGCCCCGGCAAAGTTGGCGGCG